CTCCTGGCTCGCTCTCTCTCTCCTGGCTCTCTCTCTCTCTCGGCTCTCCTGGCTCTGTCTCTCTCTCTCCTGTCTCCTCTCTCCTGGCTCTCTCTCTCTCTCTCTCCTGGCAGATTTTTACCTGCTTCCCACCTCTTCAAATAGGCCGTCCTCCAGGGAGGGGTGGGTCGAATGTGTTGGACGCTGCAGGTAGGGAGGGAAGGGCCAAATGTGTTGGATGCTGCAAGTGGGGAGGAGTGCAGCAGCAGCATCAGACACATTTGCCCGCACTAGCCCAGTGGGAGGGGAGCTCGGGACAGCGAGCCGACGTGCGATCGCGATCTACCAGTATTAGCTTTGTGAACAAGTGGTAGATCGCGATCAACCTAATGGGCACCCCTAATGCAGTATCCCTGATGCAGCACCAGTGCCTGCCTGATTGGATACAAATTGATTGAATAGATGAGGTACGTCCTCATATTACACTGTTTTGGTAAATCTAAAGTTGATTGCACAAAAATTGTATGATCAGATAGTAGCGTGTATGGTGACCTTTAGGCTGGGTTCACACCTAGGCGTATCGAATATGCGCGTTTTTACCGCGATTCGCTGTAAAAAAACGTGCGTTTCCGAGGGCTACCTGCCTGCATCTTAATGGATACGCGCGACAAAAACGCCCCAAAGAAGCTCCTGTACTTCTTTGGGCGTAGGGCGTTTTGTAGCGCGTTCATACGGCCTGTAATACGCCCAGGTGGGAACCATACCCATAGGAAATTATGGGATTTCGGTGTTTGAGCGTTTTGCAGAGCGTAGGAACGCGCTACAAAACGCCCAGGTATGAACCGGACCATACTGTATGATTTCGCTGTCACTGGAGGCATTTGCTCCCAAGATCCTTCATTGTCAGCTGACCCAAAATCGAGGGAGGAAACAGAGAAGGAAAACAAGCCGATTACACTAACGGGGCTATTCAGAAAAGGGTGAAGAGTTTGGAGAAGGGAGGAGAAGTGAGCAATCTAGGCCAAGACATCAAATTTGGAAAAATTCTCCATTTCAGCTCACTTTCTAGTTCAGCGATGTGGTCCTAGATTGTTCACTTCTCCGGCCTCCTCCAAACTCTTCACCGTTTTGTGAATAACCCTGTAAAACTTTAAAAACCGGTCTTATTCACAAGGTAGCGATCTCTGCGTTCCCAGGGTGTCTCCTGTTGGATACATTTCTGCAATTTGGTATTTTTGTGGCGGAAGTATTACTGATGAATTACATTTTCTCTGCTCGTACCGTCCAGTGGGGTTGTTAATACTTTACCTCTGGCTGTCCCTTAGGGTCCCTTGCCGCTGCGAGATGACAATGGCGTGGTGCTCTTGGGAGAACGGGCCTCTAAATGTCGAGCTTACGCCAAGGCCCTCCATTATAAGGAGCTGGAATTCCAGAAGGGAGCCACACCGTCCATATTGGAGTCTCTGATCAGGTAGGATGCGTCGCAGCATGTGAATGCCTTGGGGTATGTGTGGTCTGCACTGTGACCTTTGACGCTTTTGTAGCTTTCACGTGGAGCCGGGTAATAAGGTCTTCACACATTCCACGCCTCCTATTTCTGGTCTTGTAAACTCTCTCAGCTGACAGCTGTCACATTCTACTGGTCACCTGATGGCCCCCTCACACTCAGTCCTATGACATGTGCGGGACGTCCGGGGGCAAGTTTGCCGTCTTCATTTGAGGGTATACCTCACTGTCAGCCAAGTCCTGAGGTGTCTATTGTAGCAATGTGTGTCCGCAAGCAATCTAGGACTTCACATTTTATGTCATCAGCTTGTGTTATTATAGAGAAGTGGAAGTCCCATAGCCTTTCCTGATCATGTGATCGCTGTTATTGACTTTCACTGTGATCGGAGTCCCGTCCTACTAGCACCCAGTCATTGCAAGGTGACCGGGAAATGCAGCTTCAGATTACTGCATTTTATCAGTATAGACTTGGAAAGGGCGAGCCACAGGTTT